AAAAAAACTTTTGACATTCAGGGCATAAACTAAAGAAAATTTAAAGGACAAGACTCTGATTCAGAGACACGAAACTGGTTTGCACTCATCCTAACAGTCCCTTTACATACAACAACCCATAATGTAGTCAAATATACAGTACAACAAAAAAATCAGTATAAAGTAATTTTTGTTCATTAAGAGCGAGACTGCAATCAAAAGAAACAACAAAACAATAATTATTTAAGACATGAAATTATGTCCAAAAAATAAAAATAGACAAAAATGTCATTTAAAATCTTATGATGACTTTTGTATGGCTTACTCACCCTTAAGCAAGTAAGCAATGATTTGCAGAAAAACAACATCTTAAACGATCAGATCATAAGATTCATTAGCCCTGTGCTCTATGCACAAGCACTGTATGGTTTAACCAATATGAACACTACTATTATTTAATATAATGTCAATGGGCACAGGGAGTTGTGCACACTCTATGTTTATTATACTGTAATATCTACAGTATGTACAATACTGTACAGTACAGTAMGTTCATTATAAGTAAAAAAATATTGGATTTCATCCAAAGTCTGTATACATCTGTTCACAAAATATTCATTGAATACATCACATGAAGTTATTGCAGACCTATTTCATCATAAGTCACAATCTCTCACATAATTACACTCTAATCTCATTGCTTGTCATCCAAAACAACTGGGAATGGGATGGCATTATCAACAACAACAACATCTCAACTGTTGATCCCCTTTTCATACAAAACCTAATGCATACTCATATGCTTTAAGTTTGTGAACTTGGCTTACAGTTTAATATACAGCATATAATAGAAACAACAGTTAACTAACAACTAATGTAATTTTCTATATAATTGAATATCTAAACTACAAAATAAAAAAATTAAACAATAAAAACTTATCAATTAAAATACATATGCCGACAAAACTTGTGATAATTATAATTAAATATATTTTTATTAAGCTTTAATAAAAAATATAAAAGAAATTAAAAAAATAAAGAGTAACATTATAATTATTATAAATTGAATATTATTATTAAAATTTATATATTTTAAGCATAAATCAAAAGCATAAATTTTTGTATAGTAAATAATTTTCAAAGTGATATATTATTAAATTAAATTATAGTTATATATATCTTAAATTGACTTTATGTTTTTATAGTTACACTTTTGAGGTATTATTAACTGTACTTTAAGTGTTAAAATAATATTAATTACATTTGATCAGCAAAATCATTGACCTCTTTTGTCTAATAATATATATTTATAGTATATGGATTCGATACTAACTATTAAATAAAATTAAAATAAATTTTATGTTATAAAAAATAATAATTCAATATAATTATTATATCATGTATTTTATTTTATTTACTGTATTAAAACTTAGTACTGTATTGAGAAATGATATTAATTAGTTTGAACACCAAATATTATAAAACTAATACAGTAGTGATAACAATATTGATATAATACTGTATATACAATAGAAAATAAAATATTTAGTATTGTATTTAATTAAAATATATTAAATAAATTAACAAATATAATTCATTCAAATAATCAGTTAATAATAAATAATTGTTTTTTAAGACAATAAAATGGGTCATAAGGTTCACCGCACTAAAGGTAATGTCTACACAATAACAAAGTTTTCAAATACAGTATCTATTTGAATGTCGATGAATAACAAGGTTATAACTGTTTGTTATTTATTTATTTATATGTATACCATAATATTTTTTAAGTTTCATTTTTTAAAACTTAAATATTGCAATTTAATCATATAACAATTTAATGTCAAAATATTTATATTTATATCAAAAATTATTTTACAGTATGATTTTAAAAATAAATAATTAAATTGAATTTTAGTTATTAAACACAACTAATAAATAGTATTAATTTAATACCATATCAATATAAATGATCAATATAACACCAATGTAATAAAATACAACATAATAATATTAATTATAAATTAAGTAATTTTATTTATTTTTAATTCAGAGTAATTATAAACTAAGACTTGTTTTGCATAGCATTTATATACAGTATATTTCCTGTTTTAGATTAATTACTTTAAAATGAATATAAAATAAATAACCAACAAATTTGATAATAAAGTTTMACAAAGAGGCTAATTGTGTGCTCAAAAAAAATTAAACTTCAGGTACTGTTATAATACAGTATATACCGTATATTTAAAATAATTATATAGATCATTTTAATATCCTATTAAAAGACATAAATTGTATGTTATATTGTGTCACAATTAAAAGTAACAAAAAAATAATTTATGAAAAACAATAACTATAACAATCACTTTTAAAAATTATAATTATAAGAAATACAAAAGCTCTGACTCATAAACTTTTTGTTAATTTAAATCTGGATATAATATATTTGCTTTTAAAACACATATTATTATACTAAATTAAATAAATAAAATTTAACATTTAATACGTTAAAAATAGTTATATATTTTTTATGTTGTTAAATTTGACTAATTAATTGATAATAAATTATTGTGTGATAAGTTATTGCAATGGCTATGAATCACACATACTGTTGTCAAACGGTTTGTTTAGACTGTATATATAGTAATCAAAACAATAATAAAAACAATTTGTAATAATTATATAATATGAGGAACTAATGAGTTAATTGATAGCTACTATCGTGTTATAAGACAAGTAGGTATTGAAAGTCATAACAATTATTATTATTTTATATGCGTTGTGTATAAATAGCAGTGTTGGCAGAGACAGTGTTTGTATAATAAAAAGCGTATTATACAGTATAATACAATGTATAATATATGGCTAATTTTACATACAAACAAAATTTAGCGCCACAATTATTATATTGATATAATACAAGCAATACAATGTATTATACTATTATACAAAATCAAAATTCAAAACCTTGTATTTTTCCAACTCTGGTATATACTATATAGTCTATTAAGATATGCGGTAAATATAATTATGAGTCAATCAACACATTTATATCGTTTAGTCTTAACTGTAGTTATTAACCTCTAATCGTTAGTAAATAATAAAGTAATATCAATGAACGTAAACTAACATTTTTTGACATTTAAAACAATTATTATAATTATTATTTGCTTAACAAAATCACTACAAATTAACGTTTGAAAAACGTTTAAAAAATAAGTTAATATTATTATAGTTTTAAAAATTTAATTTATAGTTTTGTTAAAATTTAAACTTAAGGATAATAATATTATCATAATATGATAACAAACAAACAAAATATCAGTTTTTTGTTGTCAAAATTATTAAAGTTTTTTAATTAAACAATAATGCAAATACTGTATTGAATTAGTTTTATAGTGAGACCTTATTTTTCAGTGTAATTTTAAGACTCAAATAAATATTTTATTCAATCATTATTATTGTTAATACAAAAAAATTGAATGAACTCATCAAATGTGTTGTTTTTTTTTTGTAACACATGAATAACTAAATAGATATAACAAACAATTCAATTACATTACTACTAATACTACCGGTAATAATAATATAAAAAATTGCCTTAAGTGACAAAACAATAGATTAGAGATCGGATCTTTTGAAATTGTTTAAATTATTTGAAATTTTGTATCCTATTATAATACTTTTGATCAATACTTTTCATATGTCTAGCAAAACAAATACTCATAAACTATGATAAAGGCATACAAATTGAGAGTAAACGATAAAATAAACTAAGCGTTAAAAATTATATCAAAAAGTTTATGTCAATAAATGTGATGAATTGAAACTACAATTATTGTTAAAAACAAGTATCGAAATCCAATATATTTAATAYATTACAGTATTATTTGCCATTAGTTATGTAGTTTTATTATTGTATAATAAAAATCTATAACAAATATGCAATTTCTAATAAAATAATTCATAAATAGAATAAACATTATAAAACTAATAGAAGTTTATAATCATTTATAATTAATTATAATCAAATGTTTTTAATATTATTTTTATAGTTAAACAAAAGATATTTTTGTTTTAATTATCAAATGATTCAATAATTGCATTTATTAAAATTGTTATATTTTTTTAATTACAGTAATAAAATTTTTATACTAACTCTAGAAAAAAACATTAAACTAAAAATTTTCGTAATAAGTAATAAAAGTGAGTTTTTCTTAATTTTATTTTATTAAACAACATAATTATTAATATACTGTATAGAATGATTATAATAAAATGAGACATAAAGTATATTATTTATTAATAAATTAAAAATAAATTAATCAATATCATTGTTAACAACAAAAACAAAAAGGCGATAATTTTATTGTAAGCAATTAAAAAACAATGAGTGAAATAACACCAAAATTGTAATTAAAATTTTATCAAATATTATATAAAAGTTTTATTAAGTTAAGATACCAAAAATGTTACAGGTCTTTTTAAAATGCCTATATTATTGTTATTATTATTTTATTAATATTAAGTCTAATGAGAGCATAAAAACTAAATTAAAGTGCGATTGCAATCATGTTATGAATAATATAATGTTTATGTAGTTAATTGTAATACGAGATATGAATTTTTAAAACCTTTATTAAGTTTGCAGACATTAACTAAGTTCATAATCATATTGTTTTGGTTAGAAAAATAAGGGAAAGTTAGTTGAAAGTAGGGTACAGTACTTCAAAAAAGTAAAAATAAAAGTTATTATAAAATACAACAATTTTCCCCAAAATTAAAATCTTATGACTTGTTTAGCGATAAAACCTTAATTATTAATAAAATAAAACATTTTATAAACATATAATAGATTGGAAAGTTGTGAATATTTTTTCAAATATAATKGAAATAACAATTGAATGAATTTATTAATAATAGACAAAAGCATAGCATATGATGTCTGATAATCAATGTATTGATTGATTGATTAATAATTCAAAACAAATGGTCTTAAACTATAATAAAAGACTTACTGTTCATGAGTTTGATTGCGAAGAAATGCTGAGTTTTGCAACAGTTTCATCCGTTCCCATCCTTCGTCGGTCTTAATCCAGACCTCTCCGGGCGATCGCCAGTCGCGGCCAATAAATGGCATTATTTTCTATCAGTTGATCACCAATACAGATGATATGACCACAAAGTAATTATTRTCTCACAGAAAATAATAATTTGATTCAAGTGATGGCTAATTAGTAGATGAATGTGTGGATGTGATGGTTAAACTATGTGTAGACAACTGGATYTAATAAGCCAGTGATCAACCGATTTTCTGAGGACAGATAGTCAATCAAACTTATAGTCAATAGACTATGCAATAGACGTTTCAAATGCAATATTTATGTTATGTTTTGTTTTGGAGGTACAGCTGCTCACAGACAACACTATCAGAGTATGTGCTCATAATATATAACATACAAAGCACTGGTATCTCTACGTTTAGGGCTGAGCTTAAGGCACATAACATAAGTATAAGTTTTTACTATATATCATACGTTGCAATATTTGTTAACAAAAACCATAGCATTGGTTACACAACTCTTTGATTTCCCTTTAAATAATAGTCAGAGCATTGGGAGTCTGCGTCGATATACTTATGTATATTAATATATACTTACATACAGTTGCATAACAACAACAACACAACCAGTCATATGATTTTAGCAAACATACAACTGGTCTAAAATATATGACTGATTTTTTGTGTGTTCACTACTAGTTTACTATTAGTTATTATTGTTATTGTTGTCATGCATTTAAGTTAACATTATATATCATTTATCAGGCATTAGGTTTAAATATAACTCATTAATGCATTATTTTATTGTTATTACTTTTAAACTAAATTTTTTTATATGACTTAATTTCAATGTCTTTAAACTTTGCAATATTTCACACTAACTGCTAATGATTTACATAAACTGATACTTATATTTAGCATTTGGTATAAATAGTATCATTGAATTTTGATGAGACATCACAACCTATCTATTATCGTACTGTCAATGAAACTATTATTAATCATAATATGCATATGAAATACCATATAATAAAATGCTTTTAAATTGACACAAAATTTGATTAATTATTATTAATTATTACCAATTGCTATAACTAACTATAATTATAAACAACAAATTGTAATTAGAAATTTCTAACGTTTATAATTAGTATACCTATATTTTTAAATAATTTGACTAATTATAAAAAATAATTCTATAAATTATTTAATAATTAACTAATTTTAATTAAAAGTAATTATATGACCTTAATGTCAATAAACCGGTACAACTTATCATTTGAAAAAATGCATTGCAACTTATGATTTATGATGATATTAATAATTACTTTTAATTGTGATAATTTTGTTATTATTAATAATATAATTACTAAAATAATAAAAATAAGTCTGACATAAAGAAAAAGTTATGCTAATTAAGTATTAATTATAACAATTATAAATCAAATCAAATATGCATTAAATAAAACTGTATGTCAACTATTTTACAAATTAAAAAAAAAGTTTATACCAATATTATAAACCAATAAATTGAGATAATAATAATAATAATAATTAAACATTATTTTAAATGGCTATATACAGTATTTTGTCTATTAATTAAAATATATATCGAAATAAAACTGAAAACAGACTAAATAGTTATAATAAATTATTTATACAAATACTCTTCACAAGACTCTGGAATGGCTGATAATCTGGTGGTCACGAGTCCTATTCGTTGGTGAAGTATTTCAATACACGGATCCTTTTCAACAAATTTCAATTTCTGATGTTCTGGTATTTTGCGCCGACTTTCTCTCAAATTGGATAACATTTTGTTGATACTATTGCCACCAATACTCGGTCTCCGCCTATTAGTCTTCTTTTCCTTCGATTTCGAAGACTTTTGTTTAGATATGGTTTTTGTTGCTGTCTTTGCCTTACTTTTCAAATCCTCATTACAACTGGTATTTTCATCACTAATAACTTGTTTTAAATTTTTGACATTTTTATCAATATTTTTAATGTCATTAATTATATTGTCGTTGTTCTCACTCTTTAGTGTTGATCTGATGTCTGTTTTCTCAATTTCAACAGTCTTTTGTCGGCGGCGTTTGATTACAACTTCAGTTGTATATCGATCGGTGACTTTGCGGATGCGTTTAGACCGACGAACAGTACACTGACTCATATCAATGTTAACATCACTTTTGTTGTCCTGTGTTTTGGTCATAACTTTGATACTGTTATTACTATTATTTGTATTCTTCTTCTTCAGTAAGTTTTTCTTGTGTTTTGTATCCGTCGTTGTCTTCACCATCTTATCCAATGTATTAACATTTTCATCGAAACTTATTACTTGTTTTCGAGTCTTTTTCGTTGTCTTCTTCATTGTCACCATTTTATCTGTCACTGTCTTAATGTCTTCACAWGTCTTATCTTTAGAGACTGTATTTTTTTCCTTAAGTTTAGCCATTGTTTTGTCATAACATTTAATACTTTGTAAAAATCAAATTAAAATCAATATATAAATCGTGTCAAAAAAAATGCTAAATTGAATTCACAATCAAAACAATGACTAAATTTGTGACAATTTTGATGAAACAACTGTTTGTTTTGCAAAACATAGACAACACTCACACAAAACACACCAAATGTAATGTTTTGGCGCAAAAACAGTCAAATGTGTGACAATAAACTACATGTGCTTACAGTCTGTTACAGAGTTTTTAGTATCATTTATCACATAATTTAATACATTTATCATATTTACCGGTAAGTGATTTTAAATAAAACTTATAATTAAGTTATATATTTAATAATCCATTTACTTAATTAAAAAATAGACAAATTTGTCAAAATTGTTCAATTATTACATATTGTTTACAATAATTATAATTATTTAAATAAATATTATAATCAATTTTTATGTCAATATATTGTTTATACTGTACAGTACAGTACAGTTCAATACACGCATACATTTTACAAATACATTATAAAAAAATAGAGTACATGTATATTATTATACAGTACAGCAATTTGTGTGAGTTTTTGAGAATATGGGTGTATTAATAGCCATACATACTAGAGAGCGAAAAGTTTCGGACCCGTTCCTGATCTGATACCTAAAATCTCGGACTCGGACCTGACCTAACATAGGATACAAATATACCTGACCTGACCTGACCTGACCTGACCTGACCTGACCTGACTATGTCTGTCCGAAAATAATTTTATCAAAAAACAATTTTATTCATACTATACACTCAACAAATTTGTCCACAAATTAATTTTAATTACTCAGGATTAACGATAACTGATYGTAGATCTAATTTAGATATTAATAAAAGTTAATATTCTATTATTTATTACATCAAAATATCATCTTTTCTAATATTTTATGTTTAATTTATACAAATATTTCATAAATAATAATTTAATAAATGTTGTGTTTGATTGTCATATTTTGTAATAATTGTCGTTTAGATAATGAATAAAAAATTTTCGGACCTGACCTGACCTGACCTGACCAAAAGATTTTGGTGTTCGGACCCGTACCTGACCTGAGCCCTAACTTTTATCTGACCTGACCTGACCTAAAAAATCAGGTCAGTTTTCAGTCTCTAATACATACCTATCCAATATAATAATTATACTGTACTTATACTGTACTTATACTGTACTTATACTGTACTTATACTGTACTTATAATACTTTTGATTTAACAAATAATACAACTATTGTATTGTTTATTAATATAAAGTACAATGTCATCAATTAATAACTAATAGATATTTAATTTAAGTTAACAAATCTTATATAAACTTTAGTGATGTACCGATAAATTAAATATTTAACAGATCTCATAAAATCATTTTTATTTAAATTCATTTATTTTAATACTATTAAAAGTTATTTTTATTATATAATAGATGATAACTAAAAATACTAAACAGTAAATTAATATATTACTGAAAAAATAATTTGATAAACTAATTTATAATGTATAGATAATTTTATGATTACATAATAAAACTTACTTTCTGTAAAACTTAATTAAATAAATCTTTTAAATAATTACATTAGTTGTCGACACATGTCATGTGTTAACATATAAACATAAATAAAACAAATTCAAAATACTTGCTAAATGTATAAAACTTATACTTATTGTACATTAAATTAGTTTGAAATATTTTTAATCCCATCATTAAAATGTTAAAACCAAATATGATATATAGGGTACCGGTAATAATAAAATGATAAATAATTTGTTCTATCAGTGCATTTATGAGATTAAAAATAACATTTTAAACAGTTAATGCATATATAATATATTTATAACCGTATTATTTATAATTAACACATACTACAGTATATATTTAAAATTMAATTTGGGAGCAATTGTTAATAAGATTATTCAAAAAGTAGACCATTTGTTACAACGGTTACTGTGGTGTGGATGTGAAGGAATGTCATCTTAATAGTCATTATTATCGGGATAACCATAATATAAACAGAATTAGGAGAACCACTGATGCAAGTATTGTACTCAACAAACAAGTCTTTCGACGAGCTTTACTCTACAATAAAAATACAATACAATTAGTGATAAATAAAAAAATAATTAAGGAAATGACTCAAACATTAAGGATAAACCAAACACCAATAAAAAATAATAAATAAATAAATGATAATATTATTACTGGCATAAATCGAAACGATGGCTATAATAATTGCGAGAATAATCACAAGAATCACAATAAGGCAAAGCTTTTTACGTCGTGCCCGAGACTATTGATTTTCGATCATAAAAGTAATATAAGAAAAAATGAGGAAAAACCAAAATTAAAAAACTCATGCATTATATGACTAAAATTATTAAATGTTGAATACTGTCTCCAATGGCACACCTGATAGTCCCTGGCTTTTGCCAGTTGTGCGGTTCCCTCGTGAACCTGTATTGAAGCCGTTTCAACATTAGCTTCTATACTATCGATAACTTCACCCTGGTCGTGAACCATTGTCGCTAAATCTTTAAATATTTGATTCACTTCCACGATATCGCCTTCAATTTTGCGGATTTGTTGCTCTCTATCTCTTAATAACTCTAAATCACATTCTTCTTCCATATGAATTTGTGTTTGCGATTGTGGACTAAAGTCATTCAATTTAAATATACGGTAAATATATATTTTTAATTACAGTCAAAACAACAAACCTCTGCAAATCAATTAGATTTGATGCTCCTTTGGTTGAGTGATCGTCCCAAACATTATTCTAATGTAATAAAACATATTATTTACAAATAGACGACAAATATATAAATAAAAACTATTACAGAATTGAGTCCAGAGTTAGCCCGGGCTCTGATTACACTCTCCTTCTCTTTTTGAGCGGCAGTTCTCTGTATAACCTGAAAGTTCTTCAGCGCTTCAGAGAAATCACTCGTTAGTCTCTCTTTAAGCATTCTTCTTTGTTTCTGTTAAATAATATTTTATTAATTATCATTAATATAACAAATATTAATACAATACCTGTTCCGATACATTTGTCGGTTGTGGCAATTGTGCCAATTCTTTCAATGAATTATTCGTATCTCTGGCCAATTGATTAGTATAGTGTTGCACTTCATGTCTGGTAATTAAATCAGTTAATTAAACTTTTAATAATTTAATAACAGTTAAAAGTAAACTTATACTATACTATACAATATAACTATAAAATTTATAACATATGTTATGCAATGTATTTATTATATTAAACATATATCATATTAAATACAGTATATTATTAAATTCTTATCAATCATTTATATGAAACAATGGCAACAATCAAATCAAAGTTAAGACAATCTGTGGGTCAAAATACATACAAATTAGTTCTGAGACTCTCATTGTCTTGAGATGTCCCCAATTGATTAACCATTCGCTGCATTTGATTCACTAAAAAACAACAAATATGTTTGAGATGTAATTAATATCATTAAAAATATTAAATACCATTTTGTGATATCTTCTGGACGTTAGCGGCCACTGATTGCGACAATCGCGACCATTCATTGCGTTCATCGCCGCCGAGTGTTGACTGGTATCCCTTGTAGTGACTCATTGTCCACTGTCTTCACACTAATGTTTTCAAGTGGTATATCAATTGGTTATATGTTTTGATAACTAATATATAATATTAAAAACATTAGACAACTGTTGGCAAAAAACAATATTGAAATCATACCTTTGAATCGGCAAAACAATGACTTTAATTGATAAGAAAACAACTAAATGAGTGACCACTTCGGTAAATGTGTTGACAATTATAGTTAATAACAATCAGTTGTGAGTCATGTTATGATTGATTGGTCGACAATAACACTAATACTCCCATACTTTACATTCACTTAACACATACAGTGCTGTCAAATATTACACACATTTATACCATTGAGTATCGAAACACATAAACATTTAAAGCATAGTTTGATGCGTAATGTTTTGCATTGCATTTCGTATACAATATATTATACATTACTATTAGACAACTATTTACTGTATATTATAAATACATTGTATTTCATACACACTGTAGTCAACTGTACTGTATATGTATTAATAGAATACAACAATACGACACTCAATACAACATATAAGATATATTTAGTATTACGTTGTTTATGAATAATACAGTAAATTATAAAATTAAATATTAGTTAAAAAATAAAATCTATTAATTGACAGATATTACACATTTGATTATAAATATAATTAACAATTAAAAATAATTTGTAAAATAAAATAATAATTTGTTGTTATTTGTTGTTAAATAAATTGAATGTCTTGTGAAATGTGTTGGTATTTATGTATTATTTGTATAATAAGTGTTTGGATGAACACAGTGTCACAGTATATGTGTGCGACGTATCCAATATGTCTGTCAATGGAAACAATTGATATCGTGTTTAGCCATCAATGGTATGATTAGTGATAATTGTATTAATTATTGATAATTACTTATATTTGATCCAATAGTTACTGATGTGTATCTCGTAATTGGATATCAAATGCGATTGAATGGTATATATATTGATCGGCAATAATGAGTCAACATTTTAGAGGCCACTCATCATTAATCGGTGACAATGAGCGCCAGCAGTGGTCGCGTGCGTCACAATCATCGCAGTCTTCGTCGTCCACTTTACCGAATTTTGACAGAACACCGATGAATGGTTTGCCATTGCGTGCGACCCAACAGTCGCCGTTTTACGCGGGAAGGACAGTATTTGGCGGCGCAAACACGTGTGCCTCGCGATGGGAGCGACAAACGCGTCAAACGCCTTATTCGTTATCACAGAGACTTATGACTTTAAAACCGCCTCCGATGGTAACGGTAAGGCCGACGACCAACAATACAACTCAAGAACCACCTAATGATCAGTTGAGTAGTACTTCCAGACGTATATTAGAGAAGTTAGAGCGGGCATCGACACCATTAAAAGATGCCAAACGTGTCCCGTATGCCAACAAAATTAACGATTATTTGAATTCTGCGGGTTATATATACCGAAGTGTAACCGCTAAACGACCCCGAGTTGGACCGCCTACTGCTTCAACACCAGTTGCCAGTCCATCAACAGTTGATCATAGGTTTAAACCACAGAGATATGAGCTAAGAATTGTTGACGAAAAAGATGAACATTTTGTACCTCAAAATAGTGATTCAATAAATCAATTAATCAATTCTTGTGATAATTCAAAAATTGATTCCAAGATAAGCGATATTCGCGATGACATTAAGTTTTCAACCGATAATTTTAAGCCTAAAATGACAGTCAAAAACACAAAACGAGAAGAAAGACGACCTAAATATGGTTTAATTGATGATCAAAACGATTCAATGAATTTATTGTCATCTGTTGAACCATTAAGTATTCCTTTGGGCACTTCATTGCCAAAGTTTGCTTTTGCTGTGGCGACCAAAACTGAGTCAATTAATAAAGCGACCAAACGATTGCCTACAACTACTATTACCAAGTTTTTAGTTGATGATGAAGAAGACAATACGTTTGGATTCAATTTTTCGAAACCATTAATTAAGAAAAGACGGAAAAATGATAAAATTGATTCTAAGGTGACCTCTTTGAGCGAAATTAGTGATAAATTAGTATCAGAAAAATCAGTAATAAATGAAACGGTTGTACCAAAAACAACATCTTTGTCAACAATAGCAACACCTTCTATATTAGCTATAAGTAATAAGTCTTTGACACCAATTATGGATAACAATAAGACATTACAAGAGAGCATAAATTTACCATTAGTGTCGCCAAAACCAAATGATAATAAGGATCCGATTGTGTCTACTACTCCATCCTTGAAATCAACTTTTAGTTCCTCACAATCACAAAAAAATCTAGTTTTTGGTGATCAAAATGTCAGTACTTTTAATGCATTTTTATCTTCAACAACAACAACAGCGACGACAACGAAACCTAGTTTTTCATTTGGTTTAGACGGGAAATCAACGACAACCACTACCAGTACGACTACGACGACCACTACGACTCCAACCGTCAAAGACAATGTTTTTGGTTCAAATAAGACACTATTTTCGTCAAATACTAATAAAGAACTTACATTTGGCGGTTCTTCGGCGACTAATAAAACTACAGTTCCATTTAGTTTCAATAATAATACTAATTCGACGCCTAATTTTGTTTCAAATCAAACACCTAATTTAGGTTTTGCTTTAAATACAAATAATAATAATAATATACAAACAAATGATAGCAAAGCACTGTTTGCTTTTGGTCCTCAACCTAATCAATCTAATAATCAATTTACCAACAATTCATCATTAGCTCAACCGTTGGCAAATAAAACGACAAATAGTACTCCTTTTACTTTTGGTAATAATTCTGGTTTTGGATCTACTAGTGCTGGTTCTGTACAACCAAGTAATACCGGTTCGATATTTGATAATGCAATGAACAGTACATCAACTTCTAATTCAATACAATTTAATGGACCGACAGTAGCACCGGCTTCCGCATTGTCCAACACTCCATTTATGTTTGGTCAGCCAAATACTGGTAACCTTTTTGGACAGTCAAATGCTCAGCCAATATCAACAACTTCTATATTAACGATAAGTAACAAGTCTTTGACACCAATTACGGATAATAAGACATTACAAGAGAGCATAAACTTACCATTAGTGTCGCCAAAACCAAATGATAAAAAGGATCCGATGGTGTCTACCACTCCATCCTTGAATTCAACTTTTAGTTCCTCACAATCACAAAAAAATCTAGTTTTTGGAGATCAAAATGTCAGTGCTTTTAATGCATTTTCACCTTCAACCACAACCATAACAACAACAGCGACGATAACGAAACCTAGTTTTTCATTTGGTTTAGACGGGAAATCAGCGACAACCACTACCAGTGCGACTCCAAGCGTCACAGACAATGTTTTTGGTTCAAATAAGACACTATTTTCGTCAAATACTAATAAAGACTTTACATTTGGCGGTTCTTCGGCGACTAATAAAACTACAGTTCCATTTAGTTTCAATAATAATACTAATTCGACGCCTAATTTTGTTTCAAATCAAACACCTAATTTAGGTTTTGCTTTAAATACAAATAGTAATAATAATATACAAACAAATGATAGCAAAGCACTGTTTGCTTTTGGTCCTCAACCTAATCAATCTAATAATCAATTTACCAACAATTCATCATTAGCTCAACCGTTGGCAAACAATACGACAAATAGTACTCCATTTACTTTTGGTAATAATTCTGGTTTTGGATCTACTAGTGCTGGTTCTGTACAACCAAGTAATGCCGGTTCCATATTTGGCAATGCAATGAACAGTACACCAACTTCTAATTCAATACAATTTAATGGTCCGACAGTAGCACCGGCTCCCGCATCGTCCAACACTCCATTTATGTTTGGTCAGCCAAATACTGGTAACCTTTTTGGACAGTCAAATGCTCAGCCAATACAACCACAACAACCTTCATTAGGAGTTCCGTCATTTAGCTTTGCATCGACACCTAGTTTTGATTTTGCAAACATGTCTAGTACTCAATCAGGACTGCCGTTTCAATTTTCGTATGTATCATTTGAATTGATTTCTATTTACATTTTTATTTTACTTTAATTTGTTTGAAATATATTATTTATTGACTCTCAGGGCAGAGCAACCATCGACAGTACCGGGAGGTCCAGCACTTCCTAATAGGAATATCAAGAAAGCCAAGAGGCGTCTCAACCAAACATAATTATTTGTTAATTATATTGTTATTTTTGGCATCAAATTTATTACAAAATTAAATTCTGTTTTTTAGTGATTTAATGCATTCATTTATTATAATTATCGATATATATATATATTATATACAGTAAATATACGGTATTTATCAACAAGTTTTAGTACTACGACAAACATCTACTTTATAAGACTATTTATTGTACAGAATTAAAGAGTTAAAAAATTGTTATATTTGTAACAAGAATTAACAATATTTAAAATTATAATATTATAATTGATTGATTCAAAAACTCATTTTGTGATTTTGAGCCTATTTTTCATTACAAATCAGAGTTGATATTTAAATTATTAATAAGAAATGCTATTATATATACATATTATGGTAAATGAGATGATTTTACTTTACGAATAATTGAGTTTTTGTTGTTTATTATTATTATTTTTTGATTCACGTTTTTTATATTATATTATAGTGACATAATAATTATTAAAAACAAAAAAATTGTATTTTATTGCCAATTCATATGTTACAATCGATATCAACATTATATTCTGTATATTAAAAATTACATAATTATTAAATTGTTTGATTTTGATTTTTAGTTTAAGTAAATAACAGTACTTTAAATGTATTTAAATATAAAATTTAGTTTTCAATAATGAAGATTTGAATTTTTAAATTTCCAATCACTTAAAATTTCAGAATTAATGTTTGAATTTATTGTTATTATTATTAATAATGTTAATTTTTATTTAGTATAAATATATATAATTTTATTTTCAATTTATTTGTTCATCAATTCATTAATGTCTCAAATTGTTAAAATTAGATGACATGTTTTCATATGAGTTAAATTACTTATGATTTATATATAATGACAATTATTATTATTAAAAATTAAAATCAATTGATAAGTTATATTGTTTTTTTTTAAATTTCAAGTACGTACTTATTAAATAATATTAATACTAACATAAATATATGATTTTATATTCTTATATTGCAGTTTATAATAATTGCATAAAATTACTTAACTATTTTGATAATCTTTATTTATATATACATTTTTCTTATATTTATATGTTTCAKTATAATGTATAGAAATAATGAATCGTTAAAAGATGAAATATGAATTCATTTTTGACACTATACAGTAGTATATATTGTATATTATGGAAACTGTTATATCTAATTGATTTATTTAGTAAAAGTAAAGGATTTGTCAATTTGAGAAAACCCATTGAAATATAATATATATAATAATTGCAATTATTATTATTATCTTTATTTTAAGCCAATTCATAAGGTTTTGACATTTAGGGCCTTGTCTTGTATACAACAATATCACAATTGAGTCTCTCTTTCACTCACTTTCTCTGTTTGTCTGTATATTTGTCTGTCTGACTGTCTTTCTGTTAGTGAAATTGTCTATAATTTTGGTGAACCGGGAGATCAGTGTAGCGTTTGATTGTGTGTTGAAGCGAATGCTGACTTAATTATGAAGTATTTGGAATTAGAGGCAATCAGTGGCACTGATAGACATAAAGCACTGTTTGACTACCAGTGACTGTAGAATACAATTCAATACAATTTGTGAAACACTGTGAGTGACTGAACCTCTAAAATGCCTTAACTGGTGGGCAAAAGTTGCACAGTTAGCAAAAAAGGGGAACACATATTATCTTATTGGTAAAAGTGGTACTATTTGTCTTTCAAAATAAAATCGATGTCTCATTTATGCCGTCATTGCTATAACTATGGAAACTCTTGTCGACGTCAATCCTCTCTCTCTCTCTCTCTCTCTCTCTCTCGTTTTGTAACGACAGTCGTATGCAATATATAGTCAACTCTTTAGAAATTTATAAAAGAGAGGTAAAGATAGAAATGGAGAGAAAGAAAGAAAGAAAGAAAGAGAATAAAGAAATGATATAAAGCTTTGAATGTCATTTAAAATAACAAATTATACACATTTACAGTAAATTAAAAATATTAATCCATTGTTACTTTATTTTTACTTAAGATTTTTACTTTAAATTTTTTAGGTTAGATAAATAAATATGTCATTTAATTTTTAGTTTCATGTTTAAACTAATTGTTGATAAACTGTATATACTTATACATGAGTTACTACTTATATAATTTTAATATATATAAAAATTTCCTATAATCTTTAAAAATTTGATTTTATATTTTTTGAATCATCACATTATACTGAAAAAACAAAAATGTTAATATATGTAAAATTTATAGTTAAAAGTATTAACAAGCTTTGATGTATAAAATAAATATCCATTGAATTTAGTTTTTAAATGATTGCTGTAAGGCATAAATAGTTGTCGGAAAAGTACACAACATTTTAGTTAAATATAATTCAAATTTGATGCAAATTCTTCTATTAACGTTGAATTTACAATTTTATTTTAGATTAAAATATATTATTATAAAATTAATCGTTTTTGTTGGTTTAAATAAATTTAACCCTAAAGTGAAACATGGATAGTAACGCACTGTTAGGTCAAACTTAGAACCAGTGGTTATGATATTAATTGTATAATATTTGTTATTTTTCTTTGAAACCATAGTGTCAATTCATGGATGAAACAAAATGTTTTAATTAGGGACTCAACTTAATTTTATTTTCATTTTTAAATAATTGTGTTTTACACACACACGCATGCATATATATATATATATATATATATATATATATATATATATATATATATATATATATATATATATATATATATATATATATATATATATATATATATATATATATATAGTCATATATATATAGTCATTCAGTTTAATAAATTTTAATGAAATAAAGTTTTAATTTATTCTAAATTTTTTAGAGATAAAAATCTTTAGGATTTAATATAATAATCAAAGTCGTCGTGAGTTTAGTTGTGTTTGAGATAGAAAAATGTCATTAAATGTGTAGTCATTCATATGAAAAGATAAGACATAACACACACTGATTGCCACTCTGTCTACACTCTGTTTATGCCTTTCCTATAGTCTGTGTGTTATTACAGCTAAACTACAATAGACTGACTGGCAGTAAGTGTGTATGAAATGTGATAACTCTATGAAATGTGTGCTCTTTGTATATAAGCCTTACAGCAAAGTGTCTTTACAGTGATGTTAATAAAGTTTTTCACTATTTTTATTGTTATCATATTTAACTCAAAATTCTCATTCATATACAGTAACTGTAGGTTATTTGAGATATACTATAGTATTAGCTTAAGTTAACATTCAATTTACTTTTATTTTGTCTCGTATTTTATGAGATTTAATATTTTATATTGCAGTTAATATTAAATGAGAAATATATTTTATTAAAAATATCAATTACTATCTATATAATATAAATGACAACCAAGGTAAATCACTAATGTGTCATTAATATATGTCTTAAAAATTATGTCTATAAATATTTTTTAATATAATTTTATTAACTCTAAAATGTTGGATTCATTATTAATTAAAATTATTATATATAATTAAATTTTTAAGTAAATATTTTTTATAACAAAATATCCAAAAAATATAATAAAAATGTTTTATTAATATAAAAAATTATTATAATATATTTTTTATATTTGAATAATATTAACTAATTAATATTAATTAAATAATATTAATATTAAGTATTAATTTATAGTTTACTTGAAATATATAAACATACAGTATTTATAAAATTGTTAAAATTAAATCAAAGGTTACGTAATGACAATATATTTTATTTAAAATGTTTATATATTTTATAGCCGTTTGTTTGTTTTGTCAAAAATATAGCATAAAAAGCTGTTGAACTGGGAATCAAAAAAGTCGTTATATTCAGTGAGTTATGATTTGTCCCAAAAAAAACATTTACGAGACATTGAATTGCTTTTTATATGTCTTGTAATAATAAAGACTTTCACAACCATTTCAAGAGGTCGCCCATCCATTCATACAGTCGTTTACTGTACTCTCAGTTCCTCCACTAAAATGCACTCAACATTATTATACTCTTATATTGATATTATACTTTGAATTATATTATATAAAGGCTCTAATGTTAATGTTTTATATTTTTTATATGAAAGTCAACTAAAAATCTTAAATAATTTTAATTTGCAGCGAATGTTGAATATAAGCAAAAATATATAATAAATTTAATAAAAGACAAATTCTAATGGATCTTAATTTTTATTTATATTTCATATGTCACTTTCAAATATAATATTTCAATTTTGATAGTATATAAATTGATAAATTTTAAAAATAACATATTCTAAATTTTTTTTATATTTATTTTTATTTGCTTTTATAAAAAATATTAATAATTAACAAAAAATGTAAATATTCTATTTAATAAAATAAACATTACATATTACTACTATAGACTATAATATAGAGTTGCACTTAGTAGTTATTTAAACTTTATATTTTAAATTAAAAACTGACTTTTAAATACATACATACAGTATCTATATATACTTTAGATTTTAGTTTTTAACATACATTAGTGAATTTATGTAAATTTTGTGAACGATGTTGTAGGAACAGTATATTTTAAAATATTAAATAGTGTGTTAATAGTGTAAATAAAATTATAAATAAAAAATTATTATTTTATTAAAACATTTAGACAGTAACCAAATATGTTAATTTGTTAATGTGTTTAATAATTTCATGTTATTTGCCAGAAATTGTGCAATCTCATTTTTATTTTGATATAAATTAAATAAGAAATAAAACAAAATTAGAAACACAAATGCAAAATAAAAATAATTAAAAATTAATTATATTTTACTTATTAATATGATAAATAATTACTACACATATAGATTAATTCAATTGATTATGAGATGTAATTTTTATTTTATRCAAAGATTATTGAAACTTATAAATGTTATTAAAAAACTCTTATGCCTTCAATGTCTTTAAATGAGAAACTATATCAATGTTTAAGTAACTCTTATTTTATTTGTTTATACTATGCTCTGTATATTGACATTTGAATTCATTATTATTTTGTTATAAAAATTTTTCAAAATGTCATTTCTGTCTCTTAAGAAGAGTCATTGCAAAGTTGTGTATCTTTTATCGTCAACTTTAAGATATTGTG